TTGTTCTTATGGCTGAATAACTCTCTATCACATATATAATGTATGTTATATATAATATATACCGTAATACATGCTACATATGTATGTACATTACATACAGAGTGCACCAAAATGTATACACACTTCAAGAAAAACTTGTATAAATAGTTTAATACTAAATTTATTGTGATATCATGAGATTAATACAAGCTGCCTTTGGCCTCTACAATTATAAGAGGTGCTCAACGATGATCATTAGCTTCCAGACATTTATTAGTACAGTGAACTGCTGCTTGGGTAACCTTGGTCAGATTGCTGCACATTCATTTTTAATTTCTTCTTTAAAGGGCAGCAATATAGTGGTTATTTGCAAAATACCACATTCTCTAGGGTCCCCCATAAGAAGATAATACCACCTGTTGAAAAAACATCATGCCATTTTTCTTTTCCTGAAATGTGTATATATGTTTTTGGTTGTACAGTACTGTACATTTTCTTCTGTTGATGGACACCTAAGCTGGTTCCATACTTGACTGTTGTGAATTATGCCACAAGAATCATAGATATGATGGTATCCTTACAGCATGCTGAATTTAATTCTTTTGTGTTTATTCCAAAGAGAGGTATATAGCTGGGTTCAGTGGTAGTTCTAGTTTTAGTTTTTAAGGAACCTCCATATTGACTTTCATAGTAGCTGCATAATTTACATTCCAACTAGCAGTGTAGTGTCCCCACCCCCAATCCTCTCCTGCATTTATTCTTTTGTGTTCTTCATGTAGCCATTCTGACTGGGATGAGATAGAATTTCAATGTAGTTTTGATTTACATTTTCCTAATTACTAAAGATACTAGCTGTCTTTTTGAAAACCCAAAGCACATCCCATAGGCTTGATTCAACTTTCCTAAAGGTTCTCCATGACTGCCTACTGGTAGCACTTATGGAACTTTAGAAACAGATACCCCCACCCAGTCCCATATAGAGTATTGGCCATAGGTGGCCTGGAGAAGGGGCTGGGCATCAGAATGTCTCAAGAGCTCCCTCAGCTATTCAATGTGCCCCAGAATGGACAGCCATGGGCTTAAACCAGTACTTCTTTGATTTTGTGTTTTTGCTTATGAATTGGGTTGAATGTTAGGAGAAGTAAATAGGAAGATTGGAAGGTAAACAATTTCTCTAGTTTAAGAATGTCTGGTTTACTATCTTGTAATAAAACACAAAAGTTAGGCCAGGGTCATGGCTTTTTGTCATTAACTTACCTGGAGGGAAGTTAAGCACTGGGCCAAGCTACTTGGGCAGTGAGAAAAGGGACAGTAATGAAATTAAGATCAGTTTAGCCTAAGTAACACCTTCTTGTGGTGTCATTGCTAAATAGCCCCACAATGGTCAAGGACAGCCTTTCCAACAGCAGTTCTTGCTGCTTCCCACGAAGGCCACCCTTTTTTCATCCAGATCAAGCATTTAATGACTTCATTTGTCTGGAATCTCATTGTAGAACTCATTACTAAATCTATCAGGACCTGGAGGGTGTCAGGATGATTTAGCAGTCTTATAAATTTCTCCATATTCTCTAGTAATTCTCTTTGTATGTTAACTGCTTCAGGATGACAGAAAGATGTAACTTATCAAAATGACTGGAAATAACTTTGAAAACATCTCTTTTTTTTTTTTTAAAGAGGAGAAAAGAGCAGTGGAAAGAGTCTTTTAAATCTCCAAATTAATACCTAACCAAGTTAGCTCTAAACCTGTTCTCATTCAAGTCCTTGATTGCTTTATTAGGAGTAATTGCTTATCTCAGTTTAAGCAAATTGGTTGAGACAGGTTGCTCACTTTCATGCCTCATTCATATAAACTTTATATTAAGTATTTGAAACGCATTCTTAACTCTTGAATCTGTGCAGACTAGACAGGAACCTAGAGAAAGTAGAGATATGCTCTTTATTATCAATACATTACTTTTATTTAAAATATCATTTGCACCTATGTCAAATGGTCCTTTGGTACCTAATGATCTTGGCAAGAACAAATACAACCATGTGGATTTGGGATCATGAGAGAGTAGAGTCATTTATCTGTGGTGCTGTGGGAAAGATATTTTCTTTTTCAATTTTCTTCCTCTGTTTTCTTATTTCAATTACTGTTTGGGTTCATTATGACAACTCCCATCGTTATGATTTTTCCAGCTCACAAGCTGGAGAAAGATTAATGATAGAAGAAAACGCCGTCTTTTGGCATTAAAGCTATAGCTAGCTGTTATTATAATAGGCTAGAAATACATGAAACCCATTTATAAGATTTATGCTTGTGATGGTGAAAGTGGTACAAAGTATAAAATATTGAGATGTAGAACCTAAAATGTTGGCAGATAGCATGTGAATTTTATTCTACAGATTTCGAGCACTGCTTATGTGTGCTGGTGTTCACTGAACTTGAACTAAACCCTATTAAGGCCTAACCTGATAGGAATTTAGGGTAGGCAGGATGCATAGATTGGTCATTACCTGCTTTTAGATTCTTATTTTCTGGGGAGTCTCTGGGTCTAGAAGTCCATAATAATAATAATTAGAAATTTTGAAAACCAAGTATTGTTGAGAATAACTGAACAAATGAGAACTGTGTAGTTCCGATTCATTAGGTACTACACAAATAATAAATCTCCATAGTGAATTTGCTTTCAGCCTCTAATTGTTATTCACCAAAGCAATTGGTAAACCTTGTTTATTGTAATAAAGGGAAAGTTCTGGTCCAGGCTGGGTATTTTCTTCCATCACAGCAGTACATATGTGACATCAAAGTGGCCTCCTTTGATGTGACTGAAAATAGCATGCTTGTGGCAGGTCCCTTGTTTCTATCACCAGGGGCTTAGACTTTGTTTCCTTAATCTTGAGAAGCACTGCTCTGTGTCTTGCTTATGAGCTCCCTCTAAATGTTCTCCCTCTGAAATTTTCTTTCTCAGCTATGGCACTGGGTAGAGTATTTACCCTGGAAAACAAGAGTCATTTCCTTTGTGGAAGACTAAAGATCATGGCCTTTGGCATTGTTCGTTATGAGGAGTCCATCACAGTTGTGGTGCAGCACCATCCAACAGAAAAAAAAATCCATTTCTTCTGCCAAGTAGGAAGGCTCAACAAGGAATGGCTCAGAGATGTTGCCTTAAATCACTTCTTGTTCAACACCTTGTAGCTTACAGGCAACATCATACTGGGTATTGGAGATGGAATAATCAAGATCAGTCTTCTCAGATCTTCAGAAGGCCGCAGGTGGGGAAGCTAGGGTCACAGAGAGAGGTTTCTGAACCCAGAAATGTTGCTATATAGCATAAAATTTCAGAGTTGATTAAACCAAAATAATATGGACATTTTCCCCCAAATGTTTTGTAATTCTATATTAAAATAGAAAATGGTGACTATTAACTTCATTTGTCAAGGTACTTTCCTGTTATTATTCAATTTCTCTAGCCCATACATGTGAGATACAAGGCCCGGCATAGTAGTACACACATTAATCCCAGCACGGAGCAAGGATGAGGCAGGAGGATTATAAATTCAAACCCCACTTGGGCAACTGAGCAAGACCCTCTCGCAAAATAAAAAAGTTTAGAAAGGAGTTGTGACTGTAGCTCAGTGGTAGAGCACCCCTGGGTTCAATCCCCAGTTGTTAAAAAAATAAAATTAAAGCCAAAACAAAAGGATGGATATAATAGGCCAGATTTTTCCTCCCAGAGCTGCAGCTTAGAGAGCAGGAAACCAGAGCGAGTCAGGAAGTAGAAAGAAACAGGACACACAATGGTGGGGGTGTTCATAAGAGAAGTAATTCTAAGGCTGATGGGTAGAAGTTGTCTTCGCGCTTTCTTTCACTGGCCTGTTGCTAACACCAGCCCTTTCCACTTTGCTAAAGAAACCACTGGCTGGTATCTATTGACCTTCTTGATACCCAACCTCTTCCCCAGATTTCTGCACATTTAGCCTCTCCACACTGAACAGTACATGTGCCTCCCCTTGTTTCTTGATTCTGATTGTTTTCCACCCAGAAACCAAACACTCCACCCTACTGTGATTACTAGACCTCACTGTGCTTCAGAACCACTGGGGACATGGGTTCAATGCCAGGGTCGCTCATCATGTGCTTCTAATCCAAGACAGCCGGTGGGGGCCTGGAGATCTGCATTTGGATAGCAATCTCCTTTTCTGGTCACCTCCTCTGCCCCAGCAATTCTAACAAAGGTCAGGAGTTCAGACTTTGAGCAGCTTCACACACTTCCATGCCATGACACTGTTCTTCAGTCAGGAAACCTGGGTTTAGTCCCAGATCAGCTTTCTATCCTTTCTGTGGCTTCAATTTTTGCACGCATGGAGGAATAGGGAGGAGGATTGCATCAGAGACCTTAAGCTTCCTTGTTTCCTTGCCTGCCTGGAACCCCTTCCTGCTCTCTACCTTTTCTCTCCTGCACCAACTGCTGAATGTGCCCAGACAAGGCGAGGGCCCGGCATACTGCTGCTGCTCTTCCCTGGCTATCAGCATCCTCCTACCAGCTCCTCCTCCTGCCTCACAAGAGTGATTCCAAAGCTCTTCTCACTCCTCACACTTCAGAGTCAGACACTTCCCCCACATCTTACCATGTGAACTGACTTCCAGCTCACAGAGAAAATAGAAGCTACAAGAAAGAAATCCTTCCACTTCCTACCACTGAGTCTGCGCACACACCTGCTTCCATGCCTTTCTTTCCAGGTTCCTTCCATTGCCTGGATTCCTCTCCTAGTGAGGTCAGTTTCTTCTCAAATGCGCTAGGTCTCTTTCCTTCCCATCTTGCTCTTACTTCTTTTTTCTTTTTTAAAGAGAGTACAAGATACTGATAATGAAAAAAATTAGAAATGATACAGGATTTCACTCAACAAATTAATATGAATTCAACGATATGAATTGTATTGCATAGTTTTGTCTTCAAATTTGTTTTTTAGGTTACTAGATCTATGTATGCAAAATTGGGGGAAATGTTATAAGAAACTGAGAAGAGAAAAAAGTTAAAAATATGGAATGCTTCAGGAATTTGGGTGTCATCCTTGCACAGGGGCCATGCTAATTTTCTCTGTATCATTACAATCTTACTATATGTGATGGTGAAGTGAGCACCCTGCTTGTTCTTTCAAAGCTCCTCTTTTGCTGTATCTTCAGCCTCTTCCTCTATCTTCCCACACATTCTTACCTCTTGGACATTAGTATTTACTAGCAAAATGACACCCTTCTTTCAGTGTTTTGCACATTGATAAGCAGACCTTTTCACATCCCTGGGATTTTTTTTTTATCAATTTGCGAAAGAAATGTGAAAATCGTCAGAATCAAAACGGAGTCATTTGTGCCAACCCTAACCACAGAAGTAAGTAAATCCGGGAGGTTGTGAAGGAAGAGAGCCCTGGTAATAACTATCACAAAAGACTGCCAGAAACACAACTCTGTGCCAAAGCGACTGTGACATTATCCAAAAGTACTTTCTGTAAGGACATCTGCCCAGCAAGAGTTGGTGCAACCTTGGACTGACGTCATGCTTGTTAGTAGTCATTGTGGCCAAGGATTATTATTTTTAAATATATGATATAATCTTCATTTTTTCTTTAAAAACATCCCCTTGCCTTGACCTTTTTGAATGAGCCCACAGTTTACTCTGCCATATATATTCCTTGTATAATGTTCTGAGGCTCTCAAATTAATATCAGAATTCTTTAGAGAAAGTCTCTCTGGTTCTTCAGTTTTTTAGACAAACAAGTTAATATTCAGAGAGAGGGAAGGCACATGTTATGGGACTGACTATAAGAATTAGGGCTTGCACAGTCGAGGAAGGAGAGAGGTAAAGGCCCAACCTGGAAATGTTGGAAGAAGAGTCACTAATCCGCCAGTTGAGAACTCAGCCATGACCAATACCTGGGTCCAATGTGATATCAGGTGTCCTTTCCCTTTTTAGTTTTTTGTGGTACTAGGTTTTGGGTTTTTTTTTTTTTGGTAGAACCTAGGGCCTGGCAATTGCTACCCAGGCACTCTGCTACTGACCTTCATTCCAGCCTAACTGTCCTTTTAAGAAGATTTGACTCTTTAGTAGCAAATATGATAACAACTAGAATGATGGGAGGGGTCATAGGATAAGAAAGGAAGGCAGTGAATTCTCCCCTAGAGCCTCCAGAAAATACCAGCCCTTCCAGCACTTTGATTCCAAACCTTGCAAGACTGGTTCTGAACATCTGCCCTCTGGCACTGTAAGACAATAAATTCATGTTGCTGGACCAAGAAAAACAAATGCTAGATATGTATCTCGCCACAAAGTGACCAGAGAAAAGACTCCTTGAAGAAGTCTATGGAAGGGCCAGTGAGGTAGTGCCTATAATCCCAGCAGTGGAGAGGTTGAAAACAGGAGGATCACTATGAGTCCAAGCTGTGTAGTGAGACCCTGTACCAAATAAACTGATAAAAAGAAGTCTATAGAAGGTTGTTGGCCCCACATTGAGGTATTCTGTATGGACCTGTTGACAGTCTGTTGGTTGGTCAGCAGTCTGAGACATACTGGACACAGAGAGGAGCAGGCCTGCAGCCCATTTGTTACCTCTCTATCTAAATTTACAGATTTGATCACAAACACCTTCAGAAACCAATGGCTACTTTGTCATATTTTGCCTTCCAAATCTCACACAAATTCCCCCACAGCCATCTCTAACCTATATAGGGACCAGACATCTGGGAATCACTATCCATTCCAGCTTAACCAAGTTGACTCAACACATTCCAAGTTTGTGTCATATGGCTTTGTGTTATAGTAAAAACATTTTCCTATATCCTTGGATAGTCTTCTAAATCAACTTGGAAGACATTCTGGTGAGGTATTATATTTTACTCTGCCTCTGTTATTGATGACTTTGGGTGCTTTTGGTTTTTCTGAATCACAAACAAAGCTCCAATAACTGAGTACTAATGTTTGTCAGTATCTCTGACATTACCCAGGAATAGATTCTTAGAGAAGGGATTACTAGGTTAAAGGAAGTGAATTTCCTAAGGATCTTGATGATTCCTGCCAAGCTGCCTTCCAGAAATGATATATCAGCTTTCACTCTTATTAACACTGGACACTAACCAGCACTGAATGTTATGTTTTAAGTCTTTTCCTTGAGAGACATTTCTTGATCATTTCTGACATTGTTGATCCTTACTGCTCTGGAATTGGGTGTGAGGTCAACTGGCTAGAGCTCTTGTCTCTGTGTGGTTGGGTTGGTGACATCTTCTTTTTACCTCCACAGCCACCTGCTCTTTATAAGTCACTCTCTTGGTGAAAGAGAACAACCTGTTCTGATAGAGAATCCAAAATTTATTTTTAGTCAATAGTGCGGGGAAATATGTTGCTTGAAAATCAAATATGTTCTCAATGAATACTCTGTGCACAAGAAAAACTGTCTTTCTTATATCAAAAAATTTTAAAAAGGAAATAAAAATAAAAGAGAGCAAGTTACAATTACCATTTACATTCTGAAATTTTCAATTATTATTTAAAATATTTTAGAACATCTGTATTAGGCTCCAAACTAGATTATGCATCGAGCACTGGAAAACCACAATCTGGTTTATTGCTACAACATTAAAACTCATTAATTGGCTGATCCCCATTGAAAATATTTTAATTAATAAGGATCATTTTATCACATAGAAATTTAATCTTTTTTATTCTTAGCTTCACTGCTATAGAGCCAAAATACTCTACCATGGTGTAATGCTCAAGTGACCCAAGGAGAATACCTCTCATATCTGAGAATTTCATGCAGGGAGCGATTAAACATTCTATGCTGCATCTTTTCCCAAATTTATACTTCAGCTGAAATGTAATGGTTAGATGGATAAGCAGTAATTGCTACACTGAGAACAGAAATTAATACTGACTTATCTTCTCTCCAAACTGCAAAGTGTGTTTTTATATACAATCTCAGAATGCTAATAAAACAATCTAGTTTCCCTTAATCAAAATTAGGGATGCTTGAGTTTCTGATGACTGGTTTGCTTTCTGAAAATCTATTTTAGTGCTATCAGACTGCCTGGGATCTTTAGAGAACTTCTTTATTAACCGATCTAACCTACAAATAAATATCCATGCAACACATAAAAAACCCCACAAAAGGCTGAGCTGCAAGGACAGTGGTAGAAATGGTCAGGGGTTCTCACATGGTCCCTAAAACAGCTGTAGCAGCAGCATCTTCATCTCATCAGAAATGAACTCCCAGCCCCAGACCTAAAATGTTAGAAACTGAAGGAAAGAAGCTGAATGGTCTGTGTTTTAACAAGCCTTCTCATAAGCTCTAAAATTTATTAAAGAGCTACAATGCCTTCTTTCTATAAAGGAGGACATGAAGGCAGAGATGTTAGTGATCGTTTTCTAAAGCAGCCAACAGGTCAGTGCTGAGGCAGGACAGGATCTGCTAGTTATTAGACAATTTTTACAGTTTTTCTACAAAAAGCAATACCCAGTAAGGATGGCATTTTATTTAGCATGTTCAGTTCTTGCACTAAGACAAACTATGGGGTAAGCTATTTTTAAAAAGAAGGGTTAGTGCTTCAAAAAGCAACCTATGCTAAGCTCATCTGCCAACTCTTCCAGGATCTGGGTGAATAATTAAGCATTTTTATATATCCAGATTGCATATTCTAACCAGGATCATTAGGAAAAGCTCTTGATTGAGATCACAAAAGCTCGCACAGGGATAATGCATAAAATCTGCCCTGTTATCTGTCATGTGAAACATAAAACTATATAGCTCTACCTCTTTGAGAATATAACCTTGTTCAAGTGACCTATTTCCCTGTGGGCAAGGGGAAAAGGGAGGAAATTTCACCAGCACTGCATCTGTGATTTGTAACCAAAGGGAACCTTTCTTAGTTCTAAAGGAAAACTCTTGTCATAACACCCATTGGAAAGGAATGTGATGAACCTCTTTCTTATGGCGTGTAAAGAATCTCAGGAATGATAAAGAAAAGGAAAAAAAAGTCAAGTCATTTCTAATTCATGATCATCTTATTAAATAATTTAGTTTCTCCTCATTTAATCAAGTCTTATTTAACCAGATGGAAGAAGGGATTGATTTGATTGAATCTTTTCCAAAGTCAGCAAAGACACTTCAAGTACTACAAATACTAAGAAATTGTTTTTTCTCTTTTGACAGTAGTTTCCCAGTTGAGTAAGGATTCAATGATCTGTGCGGCATTGTCTTTGCTAAAACATAATTCTAAGTGTTCAACATAGATATGTCAAATAAATCCAAGCATTGGGACTTCTTCTTTTCATCTGTGCCCACTTGCATCTCCAAGGCTTGTAGCAATTACTTACGCATTCTCATATAAATTCAAGTTCTTGTGTAGAAGGCCCCAGCATGCCACAGTGACATTCCTGGAAACCTAAGATGAGACTATGGCAGTATTAACTGTTTATCAGCACTGGCTAAAAGAGCCATAATGTGAGCAACATAGGCAATATTCAGATTTATATTAGCTGCAGGTGAAATTAGTTTTACTTGATTAACTTAATAATAGAAATAGGAGAAATTAATTTTAATCATAGTTTTCTTTAATCAAATATATCCAACATATTATTATTGTTATAATATGCAATCAATATAACAATTACTAGTGGCAGTTCACTTTTTAAATTTTAAAACTTCAAAATCCAAGTGTCAGTGTTGTATGTACAAATTCCACCCTTACCTAGCCATATTTCAAAATGCTTGGTTAGCCACATGGGGCTCATGACTACGCTATTGGACAACACAGCTATGGATTCATTGGTCAACTGAACATATTTCAAGACGCTTCCTTCACCCTATTTTTGCCCCAACTCTACCTTTCAAATGGTAAACTTTACCTCTTTGGTTTCAATTTCTACTCTATTCTTTTTCTCATTTTCTTAGGTCCTAGGACTTCAAATACCAGGCAGTTGTTGATGGCTCTTAAACTTCTAGCTCTAGGCTAGACCTCTTCCCTAAGCTCCAGACCCTCATATCCTGTACATATTCAACATTTCTTCTGGAATTTCTAATAGTAAATGTTTTGAAATGAATACATATTGACTATCACCTGTCAGGATTGATACCACTTTTCCTCTTTATTATGGC